CCTGTGTAGGTAGGCTACTACGTCTAGTACCTTTGAGAGTACCCGAGGGGCAGTGGAAAGGCCAAAGGGTAGAACTTTGAATAGGAAGTTATCTTGTCCTATTGCAAATCGTAGACATTTTCAATGTAAGGAATGGATGGATATATGAAAACGTGTCCTGAAGGTGCCTAGTGTGACCATTTTGAATCATCGTGTTTTCACAAATTTGTTGAGTCACCATAGATTGATGATAGGTCTCCAGCCTCCTGTTTTTTTCTGTGAGAGAAAATAATGGGAATAGAACCCCTTCCCTCTATACTCGGATGGTATGGGTTCTACTGCTCCTAGAGATATGAGGTGGGTTACCTCTTCTGGCAGTAAATGCTCGTGAGAGGGGTCCCTGAAGAGGGGCAGGGAAAGGGGGGTGGGTAGGGGGTTTGGAGGTAAGGGGGATGGAGTAACCAGTTTTGATAATTTCTAATACTTATCTATCTGTTGTAATACTCTACCAGATCGGGTAAAATGGAATCAGGTGATTTCCTAAAGTCTTGCAAGTGGTAGATGGTTCTAGCATTGAAAGAGATGGGGTTCTCAGGCCTTCGACCAGGGCTTCAAATTTGTTGTCTGGAAGTTGATGGCTGAGATGTAGTATTCAAGGGAGCAGATTGTCTTCTCCTCGAGGTTTTCTGTTTCTGCCCCGATGGCCATAGTATCTATGGTGTTGTGCATACAGAGGGGGGCAGGATGTTTCAGGGGCTTGATAACTTCCCTGTCTTCTTTTGATCTTACATGTGTAAATTTCCAGAGATTGCAATGTTGCTCTCGAGTCCTTGAGAGTGTGTAAGGACCCGTCTGTCTTGTCCGCAAAGAGTGTGGATCCCTCGAATGGTAAGTCTTCTACAGTTACTGTACTGGCTTTGGGAATCTCAATAGATGGAGTCAGGAAGCCCTCCACATAACCGCGGTCGCTATGGATCTCACTGCTGAATCTGCTGAGTCAAGAGCAGCCGTAATGATGTTCTGGTTATGAATTGACCGTCTGTGATGCTAGATTGTACTGTTCTTTTTTGTCATCTAGAATAAATTCAGTAAATTCAGAAAGACCTGCATAGTTAAAGTGGACATACTTTGCCAATAAGGCTTCACAGTTGGCTTTTCTTAAATTGTAAGGTTGCAGCTGAGTATGCTTTGCAGCCGAAAAGGTCAAGCTGTTTCCAGTCTTTGTCATAAAGGGTGTTGCTGGGGTATTGCTGTCTACCTTGTTCACTGACTGTGTCAATCACAAATGAGTTCAGCGTTGGACGCAAAAAGAGAAATTCAGTGCCCTATGCAGGCATGTAGAACTTTTTATCAGACCTCTTACAGATAAGTGGAATTGTTGCAGGGGTTTGCCAGAGCAATTTCACAGGGTCCATAATCACATCATTTATCGGAAGGGCAATTTTAGATGAGGTTGATGTGTGCAGTGTATCTACTAATTTATGTCAAGACACCTGGACTTCTTCCAGTGAAATGTCCAGAGAAGTGACAACTCTCTCTATTGAGGTCTTGGACTTGTTTTAAATCATCACCTGTGTTGGAAGGTGGGGGCATAATAGTGTCATCAGGTGAGGATTAAAAGAAGTGGACTTCAGGTGGGTTGTCCTGGTCAGAGAATTTGTCCTCCTCTTTAGCCCCCTGTTCTGAGGTGTCAGGCGGTCTCTGTGGTGTTAATAAAGATGACTGATATGTGCCAGCTCTGGGAAGACTGGCAGATACACAGTTGTTGTGGATATGCTGCCCATGGGTTCCAAAATGACCATTGTGGCAGGAAGGGCATAGTGGGCATCCAGGGGTGCCCATACCAGGATTGGTTCAGAGGGTTTGCTGGGTAGCACTTGAATGGAGGAGCATGCATGATGGAAGCAGCCACAGGGGAGGAATGTTGTAGAGTGCCCAACATCCTCGTCTCCATCTTCATCCTCACTCAAGAATTGTGGAGCAGAAAGAGGTGGAGAGCTCGATTGTTTGGCGGCTTTTGTTTTCTTGGTACTGACGGTGCCGGAAGGTATCGCTATTTCAGCAGCTGACGTGAGGACTGAGGTACTCTGGGTGCAGAGGATGGGAGACTCTGGTACAGAAGAGACAAAGTCTTTTTAGCGCAGGAATTGCTGCGAAGCACATGGCATCATTACAGTCAGTGTGGTAGGAATCAGTACCATATGCTGAAACCTGCCTGTCGGTACCAGTGAGTGACTGTGCATGATGTCCACAGTAGGTGGCATCATTAGCAAAAGGGGTGCCAAGGTGCTCGGTACTGAGTGTTTAGTCGTGTCCGGCGATACCACGGCATGGGGTTTCATTTTCCCCTTGGTGCCTGTGTCTGAGCTCGATTGTTTGGCAGCTTTTGTTTTCTTGGTACTGACGGTGCCGGAAGGTCCCACTGTTTCAGTGGCTGACGTGGCGGGTGTGGTCGGTACTGGGAGTGTTTGCCCATTAGCGGAGTGCCTTTTCTTGGCCAACTCCAAGGTCGGGGATGTGGTACCCTGTTTTTTTGCCGCCTTCTTGGCAGGCTGATTGGGAGCCCAGGCCATGGAAGAAAGGGTCCTTGTCAGAGGCTGCGTTTGGCAATTTCTGGCCAGGTGGGGTGCATACCTCAGGCTCAGACACTGGGCAGAGAGACTTCTCCATGAAGAGAAGTTTAAGTTGGAGATCTCGTCTTTCTAGTGCTTTCAGATTGTGACAGTGTGAGCACTTCTGCGGTATATGTGTCTTGCCGAGACATCAGACATACTGAGAGTGGCCGTCAGAGAGAGAGAGAAAGAGAGAGAGAGCCTGCAGCATTTGAACTCTGGAGAGCCAGGCATGCCCCTCAGGGAGCGTGCTCTCACCGTAAGGGGGCAGGGTATGAATATTGTGCTGTAGTGGTGGAAAAAAACCCGGAAACCTACAGCCCTCCCTTTGAGGAGAAAATAAAATTTTCTTTTTGAACAACCAAAAGTACTAACACTAACTATTCTAATTGAAAACTATGCCAGGTATTCTCACCAGGCTTTTACTGAAAGCCCCTGAAAATCGATCAGAAGTTTCAGGAAACAAAGCACAGCAAAACAATGTATTTTTCCCTATGAAAAAACTCTAGCCTGCATGTTTTGGAACAGGCAATCTGAAGTTTGGCAAGAGAGTCACTCTGGAGTCAGTGAACTTCTTTTATGCTGACTCTGAAAATTTGAAGAAACCCGGCCAAGTCATAAGCCTCTGAGAACTGCCACTTCCACATGCTCAGAGGATTGCAGCTAAATTCTCTGAACATTCTGCCGGCACCAAGCATGCATCACACCAGGGTTGCAGAGACTGCTGGGCTGGCCTACACTAAAGCTGTAAGTTGACCTAAGAGATACTACTTCAGTTACAAAAGTTACGTAACTGAAGTCAATGTAACTTAGGTTGACTTACAGCGGTGTCTACACTGCACTATGTTGACAGGAGACGCTCTCCTGCCAACTTACCTTCTGCCTCTCGGGGACGTGGAGTACAGACGTTGATGGGAGAGCGCTCTGCCATCGACTTAGCTTGTCTTCACCAGACCCGCTAAATTGACACTGCTGCATCGATCACAGCAGTGCTGATTTAGCCATAAGTATAGACAAGCCCTGAGAAGGGCTTTTCCTGCAATTGGTGCTTGGTAAGTAAAACTGACAGCAGGGCTCTCGATACCCTGTGCTAGCCCCCAGACAGCATGAAGGAGGAAGAGAAAACAGTCTGACTCAAATGAAGAGGGGTGAGAAGCAGAGGGGAGCAGAGAGAGGCTATGATGGAGAATGCACACTCCCCTGCAGAACCCATATTAGAATCCAACACTTCCAAATCCAGGCTGTCTTGCAAATAGCTGTGCTTTCCGCTAACAAAGCCTACTACTGCTACCAGTTATTTCATTAGGACAAGTAGTAAAGGTCTGTGATGTGAATCTAAAGGCCTGCTAATGACCCACATAGAGGTTAATAGGTTACCAATTCTAGAATTTCTGTTTTTTCAGTTTGCTTTCTAAAAGAAGTTAGGAAATTGCATACAAAAAACAACTACTTCAAAAGACTGTTAAGGTTGAAAAGTCAAACACTCAAAAGCTAAGAATTGGGAGAATTTAGATAATCTGTATAATCTTAGTTCTGTATTTCTTTGTGCCTAGATATTATGATAGATTTCAATTACATGATCATATACCGATCTTTCCACGGGACCGACCCCTGCCTTATCCAGTGCACAAGATACATGGTGATCAGGGAATGAATAAGGGTTATGTAGTGAGTAAGGCTGCAGGACTCCTACTTCCTTTGTTGCAGAAGTTGGAAAGTATGTACGGAATGAAGCAGGTGACTGTGGGAAAAGGAAAGCTGGTCTTGTGGCAAAGCTGTACACTTCTGCGCTCTTATCACATATGCACTTTTTTCCTTCCACTACTTAGAAATATTTAATAGTATAGAGTTCAACTGATATGTCTACAGTGATAAATATTACTGTTTGTAATGAACTACATGAATATTATTAGTTAATTAAATTGTGAATGTTTTCTATTGCTTTTATGTTTGTTCATACTTACAATATGACCAGTTTTTTTGGAATGGATATACAATTAACTGGTTCTAATAATTAAAAAGGGAACAAGAAATCCAATCCAACTTTTCCATGTAGGTTAATTCATGTAGGTTTTCATGTAGATTAATTCTAAAATAATCTTTTCATGACCTGACCAGAGACTGAGATAAGACCATGTGGGGAACAAAGATTTTGGTGTAGATTTTTAAATGGAATAATCTCAGTGGTTCAGCTATTTTCTATGTTGAATGAAATGGAAAAAATAAACAAATAGTACAAATGCTGAAAAATTAAATTTAAAAAACTGTTTTAATCTATGATGTTACTAATAACAGATACAATAATACAACACCTAAAAATATTTTAATCTGATTGTGTCTTTTTGACAAGCCACTATTTACATCTCAAAGCTTCCATTAGTTTATCTGCAACCCAATCAAAATACATACCTGATTGATTCTGTATCAATGTGCACAGGAGCTATCCTCTCTAGAAGAAACTTAATCATTTCCAGGAAAGGGTTTGTAGGTTGTTTGGGATTGCCCAACTTCTTTGTAATTTCTCGCTGCAATATATATTTGAAATTGGTTAAAACCCAATTCAGTATCAAAATATCATAAAATATTCTGAAAGCTATTCTTACCACACATCCTTCAGCCTGCTTGCAAGAACATGATGGGCTAACAAGCATTTCTAACTGGTTTCTTATTTTCTCATCATCTTCCAGAACTTGAGTGAACTTCTTCATGAAATCCTGAGCCTTACCAGGATCTGGCAAGTTTCCTTTAAATATTAAAAATCTTCAAATTAGTATCAACTTGGCAAATTTTAATTTTTAAGCAAATGTTTACTTGCTTAATAAAAGCACTGAAGAGAAAAAACAGAATGAAGCCTCATATTTCATACTGTTGCAGATTTTAACTAAAATGTCCATTTCTAAATCTCTTCCCCCTGTGCTCCCAGTCTCTCTCTTTGCTTACTTCACAGAACACAGGCTAGACAGCTCCCTCTCCTTGCTGCCGCCCGAGGCTTCCTTATTCTGCTGGTAATACAAAGAGCTGGGCAGAAATGGTGATGGGCCAGCATTTGACTTATAGAAACTTTATTACCAGGGAGATGTAGATCAGAAACACAGCAAGGCTGGTACTTACTAAAAATACAAAATATATTTACACTAACGGATCTTATCCAATTTACATATCACTTACATAAAAACATGCCACTGCCATTTTAACAAAATTACTTTTCCACTAGTCCTATACTTTATGATACTTTCTATAATGTAGAAAAAAAGTTTGAGAAGCCCTTCCCTTAAACGGTAAATAAAAGATTACTGAATTTAAAAAAAAAAACAAAAAAACCAGTCTTTTAGCAATGGCAGCATTTAATGCTAATCAGCATACTTTTTCTGCTGATACATTAAGAAATGGGGTGACGACGACAACAAGGGTAGAAGACCACTACATGCCGGTTAAAGCTAACGAAAAGCAATCTCTCTTAGACAATGTCATACCAAAATATTTATTTTGAAAATTATGTAGCCTAGAACTGAAGGAAACAAGAAGTTACAAGCTGACCATCCCTCCTACTATGGAGGGAAAAAAAGATTCAGGAGAAGGCTATAGGAAAACAACAGGAACTTCTATCATGCGCTAAACTCTTCCACAAATGTCATACTTTATGTGAAGTCTTTGTTATTTGAACCAGATTGGATAAAATAATTCATGATCTTTTAGATAAATTAAAAAAATAATTTTAAACTAAGATTTTTATTTTTTATGTTCTCCAGTTCTTTACTTTCTTCTGTTTCTTTAACTAGTTTCTTGTTGGAAGAATTTCAGATTTTACATAAAGGTTCTCTCTCGTATGAAGTCTCACATTTAAAATGATCATCTACACCAAAAGACAAGTCCCTTGGGGTCATGAACATCTGTCACTGTGGGAACACACATTCAATACAAATCTTAAGCAAACAGCCTATGTTAAATCTGCAGCCAACATCAACTTCCAATATATTTTGTGTGCTACTGTAAATGCTAAAGGACAAGTTGTTTGGGTCATCCATATTCATCTATTTTACTGTAATCTCTAGAAATGCTGTCAAAGTGTGAGAAAGAATATCAGTACCATGAAACTAGTTCTGTGATTTGAGACTGTGGACTATTTTATAAGTAACAGTATTTTTACAGTTGCCTTGATGATCCCCCTCATTGAAAAAACAAAGTAAAATGCAAAGTTTGCTGCAATAGTTTACAGGCTAATGTACCAAACATTTGAAAACCAGGAAACATCATATTTCAATTCTAATTTTTAACAGCATAAATATTTAACCAGACTTACTTGTAATGACCATCACTTTTGAGAATATAGCTTTACTGCTGGCATCTGTCTGAAAAAAATCACAAAATAAGAAAAATCTGTTTAAAGTGAAGACTTGACATTATATGCTAGCAAATGCATATAGTGTGAGCACAATTCTGTAAAGCTATATAATCAGAACCAGACTTATTACTAATGCCAGTATATTAAATGCAAAAAATGGTAATATCCATATTAGATGTTTAATCACAAAGTCAAAGTTTAAAGTTTTCATGTAACGGTACTATACCCTCATGGCGTATTATGGATATATTTAGACAATCATTTAATAGTTTAACTATTAAAAATATTTTATGCACAATGAAGATGAGCTGTTTCTATGAGAAACATTGCATTTAATGACCTTTTGTATTTAAATCTAATCTTAACACTCCATTCACAGTTTTTTGCATTTTATTATCTTAGGGATTTTGTTTGTTTTTAACTACTTCTAAAAGTTAATTTATAAATAACCCCAGCTGAAGTTTGTTTTTCACTACAATGAATGAAGCAAGTTCATACCATGGCTGTCGCTGCTGTTCAACTGAAGGGGGTTTTTTTGGTTTTGGGGGGGTTTTGTGTTTGTTTTTGAGAAACGGAGGAACAAGAGCGACTAACAGTACAGCAACACAACTGTAAAAGCAACCATCAACACCTGCAATAGCAAGGAGTAGAAATGCATTTCTGGAGGACTATGCTATTTGTATTTTACTGAGACATTTACAATCTCCTTCATACCAAATGTCTCAATACAGGACAGTTACCTGTTCTGTAACTGGCGTTCTTCGAGATGTGTTACTCATGTGTATTACACAGTAGATGTGCGTGCTCGCCACGTGCACCGGTGCCGGAAGTTTTTCCCTCACCAGTTCCCGTAGGGGAAGCGCTACTGCGACCCCTGGAGTTGCGCCACTATAGCGCGCTATAAGGGGAGCCGCGTGCTCCCCCCACCCTCAGTTCCTTCTTGCCGGACGAATTCCGACAGAGGAGAAGGAGGGCGGGATGTGGAATAGACATGAGCAACACATCTCGAAGAACCCCAGTTACGGAACAGGTAACTGTCCTTTCTTCTTCGAGTGCTTACTCATGTGTATTCCACAGTAGGTGATTACAAGCTATGTCTGATGGATTCCCTGGCTGAAGCACAGCCTTACCGAAAACAGCGTCATCCCTGGCGTGGGAGACGATCGCATAGTGTGATGTGAACATGTGTACTGAGGACGAGGTAGCGGCTCTACAGATGTCCTGGATAGGGGCATGGGCCACAAAGGCAGCCGACAAGGCCTGAGCCCTTGTCGAGTGAGCCCTTACGATAGGTGGTGCGGGAACCCCTGCTAGGTTGTAGCATGTGTGGATGCATGATGTAATCCACCGGGAAAGCCTCTGGGTGGAGATCGGTTGGCCCCTCATGCGCTCGGCCAAAGCACCAAAGAGTTGGGAAGACCTGCAGAACGGCTTAGTCCGATCCAGATAAAAGGCCAGAGCTCTGCACACATCGAGCGTATGGAGGCGGCGTTCCTTGTTAGAGGCATGCAGCGTAGGGCAGAGGACAGGTAGGAAGATGTCCTGGCCCATGTGAAAAGCAGAGACCACCTTAGGGAGGAATGCAGGGTGTGGTCGGAGCTGAACCTTGTCCTTGTGAAAGACTGTGTAAGGGGGGGGGGTCACAGGTCAGGGCTCTGAGCTCCAAGACCAGCCGGGCTGACGTGATGGCCACGAGGAAGGCTGTGCCCCCTAAAAATATATGGATATGGAAGTATGCGTCCTGAAGGTCCAGGGCCACATACCAGTCGCCAGGGTCCAGAGAGGGTATGATACATGCCAGAGAGACCATGTGGAACCAGCATTTTGCCATGAACCGATTGAGGCCTCGCAGATCCAGGATGGGTCTGAGCCCCCCTTTCGTCTTGGGGATCAGGAAATAACCGGAGTAAAACCCTTTTCCCCGGAATTCCTACAGAACCTTCTCCACGGCTCCCAAGCTGAGGAGCTGGCCCACTTCCTGTTGTAGCATGGGTAAATGCGACGGGTCCCCCCTGCCGTCCGGGGAAGGAGGAGGGAAGGCGGGGGCGTGACAAATTGTAGCGTATAACCCCGGGAAATGGTTTTGAGGACCCATTGGTCTGATGTTATCCGGGACCATTCCGTAAGGAATGCAGACAAGCGGTTGCTGAAAGCAAACTTTATTGGTAGGAGGGTCCTCTCGGGGGTCCCCTAGGTACCCTCCTGCAACCAGTCAAAACGGCCTCTTGCCCTGCTGCTTGCCCCTGGAGGGCCCAGGCTGCAGGGCAGAGCGAGACTACCTCTGAGGTCGCCTCTGAGTTTTGGACCTGTTGTAGGTGGGCTCATATCTCGGCTGGGGCGCAGGGACGGAGGTTTGCGCCTTAGGCTTCTCCTTGGGCGGAACGTAGAGCCCGAGGGTCTGAAGGGTGGTACGTGAGTCCTTCATGCCATGAAGCCTCACATCTGTTTGTTCCGCGAACGGGTCCTTTCCGTCAAAGGGAAGATCCTGCATCACAGACTGTGCCTCCGCGGAAAGCCCGGACAGCAGTAGCCACGGCGCCCTGTGCATGGACACTCTGCATCCGACGTCGCCTGCAGAGTGGCCGTTGCGGCAGCAGCGCCCTCTTCCACTAGTGCCTTAAAATCCTCTCTTTCATGCTCCGGAAGGGAAGGCTCGAATTTTGGCAGCGACCCCCACAAGTTAAACTCCTATCGACTGAGGAGGGCCTAGTGGTTGGCCACCCAGAGCTGGAAGCCGGCGGACGAATAAAGCTTCCTGCCAAACGAGTCCAGTCTTTTAGAGAGTCTTTATTTTTGGGTGCGGGTCCTGGTTGACCTTGTCTTTCCCTGTGGTTCTCGGACTCTACCACTAGGGAGCTGGGGGCCGGGTGGGTATAGAGGTATTCGTGCCCCTTCGTGGGCATGAAGTATTTGCGCTCCGCCTTCCTCGATATAGGGGCAAGGGAGGCCAGTGTTTGCCAGAGGGCATTGGAGATGTTAGCCACCCGCTCATAGAGCGGGAGGGCCACTCTGCCCGGTGCCAAGGATGAGAGTGCATTGAACAGCGAGTCCAAAGGTCCCTCCATCTCTTCAGCTTGGGAGATAGAGACTGGATGCTACTCACTTTAGCAGCTCCTGATGAGCCCTGAAATCCTCCTGCAGTATGGAGGGGGGCGGGGCTGCGATCTTGTCATGCAGTGCAGGGGAGGGGGTCGGTACCGGTGGATGACCGAGGGCCTTGCTGGGTGTGCACAGGGCCCCAGGGGGTTCACTGGCACCACTGGCTCTGCCACGGGGGCCCTTGCCATTGGCTCTGGTGTAGCACCAGGTGGTCAGGTTGGCCCTGCTGGATCATAGCACGCTGCGTGTAGGTCGAGGTTGGGGATGCCAACGACTTATCGGCATCATGCGAAAAGTAAGCACGGCAGTACCGAGAATGACGCCTGCCACGGGACCAGGACTCCAACGTCGAGGAATGGTGCCACCTCGAGCTGTTACTCTTCAAGACCCTTCGACACCTGGATCCGCGACGACGTGGAGTTGGCGATCCCCACCGGGAGTCGTGGGCACGGTGCCTCGACACTCGAGAGCTGGAGCATGACCGGCGACGGTGTCTGTGCTGGGAGTGGCTCCAGTAGCTCCGCCGAGAGTGGGAGCGTCTACGGCGTCGGCGCCTGTCACACTGATACCCTGTACGTGGCGTGGAGCGGTGCCTGGAACTCCGCTCCGACGGCACCCAACCAGACAACCTGGAGGGTGACGAGAGTGGAGGATGGAGGCTGCATCCAGACAGGACACTGAGCGACAAGTGGGCCCGAGAGTGGTCCCCTGACTGGGATCTGTGTTGGGTTGGCATTGGCTGTCGAGAGCCCAGCGGCGGCTTGCCTCTAGAGCTGGGTCCGGGTGCTGGCGGTGCCCTGGGCACCTGCAGAGTCATATCATCTTTGGCCGCCTGCAGGGCCTCCAGTGTCGAAGGCATGCGGACTTGAGCCGGAGAGGTCTGAGTCGACCCAAACGGGCTGCTCCACTCGACCTGAGTCCGAGCTCTAGAGCCTTGGGGGGGGGGGGGGGGAGGAGGAGACAGACGGGACTGGGGCTGCCCGACACAGGTCTAGCCTCTCGACGCTTCTGAGAAGACGAAATCTTCCTCTGCTTTTTCGACGAGGAGCGGTGCCAGCAGATTGCTGTGCACTGAAGACCAAGTGCCCGGTGCCGATTCCGCTCGGCGCACTGGGGTTGGAGCCAGTGCCAACTCCATGAGAAGTCTAATGTCTCTTTTTTCGTCCTGGGTTTGAAGGACCTGCAGATTTTACAGCAGTAGCTGATGTGGGATTCGCCCAGGCAGTGGAGACAGTCGGTGTATGGGTCACTCCTGGGCACTGAACTCATGCAAAATGCGCACGATTTAAACCCTGGGGCCCGGGGCATGCCCCAGCCCGAACACTAACTAACTAAACTAGAACTTTTAACGAACTAACTGATACAGGCACTACTGACAACGAACGAGATCTGGGACGAGCTGCAGCAAAGCTGGAGTGAGCAGTTCCGATGCACCGTCACTGGCGGCAAGAAGAAACTGAGGGTGGGGGGAGCACGCGGCTCCCCTTATAGCGCGCTATATTGGCGCCACTCCAGGGGTCGCAGCAGCGCTCCCCCTACGGGTACTGCTGAGGGGAAAACTTCCGGCACCGGCGCACATGGCGAGCACGCACACCTACTGTGGAATACACATGAGCAAGCACTCAAAGAAGAACTACAAATGAGTATGTCATACCTAGCAGAAAAAATGTGCATGGGATGTCAGAAAAGGAGAATGCAGTTTTTCATTCACTAATGACTCAAATGTTGGAGAAGGACTTTAAACTCCACATGCAGGTATTTAACATTAAGAACTAGGCTCCCTTTGCTAGGAATGAGGGAGAGAAGGGAGAATGTTTCAGAAATTCAGAGCATATAAAACTACCAGGCAACTGCTATTAGTTATTCCAATAAGGACATTTTTCCTGATCTGTAATTCTGGTTTCTGGA